GGGTTTAGGGTTTGGGGTTTATTGTTCAGGGCTTTTAGGGATTTAGGGTTTATTGTTTAGGGTTTTTAGGGTTTAGGGTTAGGGGTTTCGGCGCTCACACTCAGGGCTTGGGGTTTAGGGTCTAGGGTCTAGGGTCCTCAACGCCTTTTGCCTTTTTAGAACAACGGTTAAGCCCTAAGTCTTTTTTCATCATTACTTGTGCAGCCTGAAGGTGTGAGCATACGGAGGTTCAGCTCTCATGACTAATCGCTACACCCTGATTCCCCAGGCCCTTACCAACAAAACACAAACCCTATACTCATCTTCCCAGTGAAACTTCTCCCAGGCTTCCACGGGTTTGCATGGTTTTGTTCAGATATGTTTTCCTTGGCTTTGAGCACGCAATCGCCAAGGTTTCGTCAAGTGTTCATTTTTTGCTTGGTTGTACAGTTTTCGTGAGGTTTTCATAGAGTTACGCAGGGCCCTAAGCACTGGATGATGGGCTTTGTACGGTTCTGTGAGGTGTTGTCGAAGGCTTCCAGGTTCCGCCACCACCGACGCGGCAATAGCGGAAACTGCTTTGGGATTTTGCTGCTTCCTAACCCACGAAGTCGGCAGCATGAAGAAGAAAACCCTAAACCTGAAGGCCTTAAGCCAAGAAGAAAAGCTGGAGAATGTCCTTCCTGGCCGCCAAATCCATACTATAGGGGCCGTAATAATTAGAATAAGGCATTGGGGCCCATTATACTATTATACTTATAATGAGGAACCCCCAAAAGAGTATAGGTGATTACCTATCCTATTTTGGGGGGCTCCTTCTTATAAGTATAGTAGAGTATACCCCAAAACCCTATTCTAATTATCAAGGCCCCCAGAACCCTTATGGTAACCCTTATAGAACGCCCTTAAGGATCCCTTGAAAGGAACCCTATTCAAATTATTAAGGCCCCTAAACCCTAAACCCTTGTAGTAGCCCTTATTGAACCCTTTAAGGATCCCTTGAAAGGAACCGGCCCCCTACATTAGCATGGCTGCTTCTTCAGGCCCCGGGTGTGTGAAGAACCCCAAGGCCGGCAGAAGCCGCTTTTAGGGTTTAGGGTTTAGGGTCTAGGGTTTAGGGTTTAGGGTTTAGGGTTGAGGGTCTAGGGTTTAGGGTTTAGGGTTTAGGGTTTTTTGGTTGAAGGAAGTCTCAGACAAGGAACCCCTTTTTGAAGGGAACCTGTACAAGGAGCCCCCTTAAGTTTGTGATACACTTCTGTTTAGGGTTTAGGGTTTAGCGGTTTAGGGGTTTTGGGTTTAGGGGAACCGTTTTCAAGGAACCCCCTTGAAGGAACCGTCATCTGCAGCCCGAGGTGCTGGAGGTTGCCGAACCGAAGGGCGACTTGAGGCGGTGGGACACGAAGTAGGCGGCAGCCTAGCGCGGTGCAGAGGGCCGAGGGGAGGGCTTCTTTGCAGGATTGCTTTAAGGGGTCCCTCTAAGGGGTTCCTTCAAGGGTTCCTTGGAGGGTTCCTTGAAAAGGCAGGCTTGACGGGGTAGGCTTCTTTGTAGGGGACCTGTGAGAGGTTCTTTCCGATCGCTATAGGAGTCGGGCTGTGGAGACGTGTCGGATACGTGCGGCACAGGCCAGACCGGCCGTCTTACTGACAGGGGAAAGCAGCAGTGGGTTTAGAGTTTAAGTCTTTCGAGTCTGGCTTGTACTTTCGGTTCCAGTTTACGAATTTCGACTCTTACAGCTTCGAGAATGTGGGATAGATGACTTCACATGCTACAAGCAAGGCCCACTCCGAGCAGAGGGCTTTCTCTCACAATCAGTCGGAGCAGGGGCTGGTGGCCCCACCGCTCCGGGACAGGAGCAAGAGAAACAAAAGGACACTGCGAATCGGACGATAACCAGAGGGGAACGCACGCTCCACTCACCAACATCACTATTTCATTTCGTAGCTGCATCCAGTCATCATGCACATGCCAGGCAGAGATTCAAGGTTATGCGAACTGTCCACCACACCTTCCAACTGCCCAACATCACCTCTGAAATGCCGCGAAGAAGGGTCGCTGCGGACAAACCGTACTCGCACGGCTCGTGGTTGGGCTGCTTCGTCCTACTGTACGTGCGTAAACACGACAAGAGATTACCCATCACCCAGGCTTTAGACCTAGGAATACATCTGCTGGTCTTTTCGCTCCACAAGTTCAGACTGCAAGTTTACTCCAAATCGTAAACGAAAGTTCAAGGTGGTTTCAGGGTTTCTATGATTCGATGAATACCCAGATCGTTTGCACTGCGCTCCCCAAAACGCACACGCGCTTAGGAAGGCCGTACATCTCCATTTTCGGATACGTCGGTGCTGGCACGAAGGGCAATTGAGCTTGTAATCTGACTTGCCGGCCCCTCCAGCGCACGCAACAGTTGGCAGGGCCGCTTCACAACCCAAAGCTCTCCACCAAAGCCCAAAGCAGCCCAGAATCGTTGAACCTGGTGCCAAAAAACTCGGATCCCAACATCCAACCCTGCAGCGGAGCCTGAAGAAGGAGCCACATCACACCCAGATTCTTCGGAAGTGGGTCGCGCGCCCCTGTCCCAGAAGGCACTTGGGTTCTTAGTTTACAGCAGCTCGGAGGGGTTTGGTATGGGGGGGCCTTGAACAATTAGAACAGATTTCTCGGGTACACTAGAATATACGTCAGACTTACCAAAAAGGAACCCCTAAGGTATAGTACCAATGTTTAGACTTACCAAAAAAGGAACCCTTAAGGAATAGTACCAGTTTTTAGACTTACCAGACTTACCAAAAAGGAACCCTAAGGAATAGTACCAATTATTCCGCCCCTACAGGAGCGTGTAGGCTTTCGGACTCCAGCTTCCGTGCTGGATCTGCTCGGGACCCTCCGTATCGCCCAGCGAAACAGACATCCTCTTTGGTCCAGAGTGTAGTCGAAGCTTGGCAGCACTTTTAACAACTTGAGTATGCAAAAGTCGAAGTTCTGGGGGCTTTGCATGGGTGGCAAAAGATGTGTGGAACGACACTCTGGGTGGGAGGGGTCTGTACTCGAGCAGCTCCTGAAGCTGCAGCACATGTGCATCTACATACACACGTACCAGAACCAGAACCGTATCAGATTTCAGGAAACCCTAAACCCTAAACCCTAAACGTATCAGATTTCAGGTACTCGCTGGGAATGCTGTAAGTAGGGCTTATGGGCTTGAGGTTTTGGGGCGCAATGGCCAAATCCCCCCAAACTACCCCTCGGCTTTGCTTACTTATCCAAGACCAAAACCACCTGGAACAACCTGAAACCCAGACACTCCAAAACCCCTGAACTAAGGAATATACCTTATATTGACACGGGAGCCCTACTATGGCTTCAGGTGGTAATCCTTAATTAAAGGGTTCTGGAGTCTCTGGGATTACCAGAAGCAGTAGCACCTGTTTTGGACCAACATTAACATAGGGGCCATAGGGTTTTGGGGAGTCCTTATTATGATTATAGCGAAGCGAAGTATACAGGCCACTATGTTTAGGGTTTAGGGTTTAGGCTTGTCCAGGATCAGAACGAGAAGAGGCACTGCAACGGAGCAGAGGCGCTACCAATGCGTAGGCCAATGCCAGGGGACCAACACGTAACACCCCTGGACCCAAATTCCCCAAGCCCGAAAAGCGCCCGAAAACCCCACAGCCCGAAAGCCCTGAAACCCTACAACCCAAAAGCCCTAAACCATTCAACATAGAAGGGCCCGCCAAGAAAATAGCGCGTGCTACACCAAAGGAGGGCGCCTGGGATGCCAAGCAGCCCACGAAGCTGCGCAAGAAGCCCTGGGCCAGGAAGACCCGGGCCCAGCGTCCTGAGAGCTCAGAAAGTCGAGGAAGCTGGGCTCCGAAGAGGGTTACCAAGAGGGTTCAGGTTCCTAATGTAGGGGCCTTATATAAGTAGAATACTGCTTTAGGGTCTCTTATGCTATCATTATAATCAGGAACCCCCAAAATAGTATAGGTAATTATCTAGGCCCCTGTATTGCAAGGGTTCCCGTTTCCGGCTGGCTGAACTCATTTATAAGAAGGTTTCGAAATTGCTGCTTTAGGGTTTTGGGGGTGTCAAGGTTTGGGCCCGGTGCAGGGTCTCATCCCAACACTTCGAGCGTAAGTCTTACAGGGAGCCTTATGACATGAAGAGAACTAAGAACTACCCATATGTAGTAAAGACAACAAGCCTGTTTGGCATTTTGGCGGAAAACAGAAGTCTGACTCTCTGCTCTCCCATCCCTGCTTACTTCCTTAATACCCAAGAGAACCAAAGTTCAAACTCTCGACATGATACACACAGCCCTGGAGGAGGCCAAAAAGATCGAAAAGTTTGACATTGGAGAACCAGGCTTCCTCAGCGCCATCAGCAATCCCGTGAGGGTCTCGCCGCTCATTTCAGGGCTCAAAGTCAGTCGCCTGTGGCTTGGTGCGGGATTTACGGTGGTACGGGCGGCTAAGGGGTTAGGGTTTCAGGAGTCAGGATTTCAATTGTAGGGCGTACGGTTTTCGCCGTTCAGGGCTTAGGGTTTTAAGGTTTACGGTTTGCAGATTTACGGCTATAAGTTCTAGGGGTTCATGTGGCTTGCGGCTTCTTCCTGGATGTCGGGCACGAGCTTGGGAGATAGCACAGTATGTCTGGCATCATATGTACCACTGCGACAGCCGGAGCCCGGCATGTCTGCATCCCAAACTTCGCGAACCCCACACCGAAACTCAAGCATGTCAGACGAAAACGATAGCATCGCATCGTATCTTGTGTTACGGTACATTGTGGCCATATGTTATAGGTGAAATGCCCCAAAGCTCAGGGCCACCTTCGGAGGTAGGCCGCGGCCACGGACAGTGGGGGGCCGCCATTCACCTGGCGCTTGGCAGTGGGGGGGCTTCAGGGCTCCGGGACGTGCCAGGCGTGGAACGGGCATGTCGCAACGATGCCCTGCTTTGTGCTTTCCGGCTTAGAGTGACAAGGCACAGTCTGTTGGGGGGAGGCTTGGGTGCGCGCTTTACCGACTGCGGTTCAGGATTTTGATGCCCGTAGGGGTTTAAGCGTCATCTGTCCAGGACGTACGCTTCGAGATTGTGATCAACACGATCTCGGCTATCATCACAAGCAATCTCCATCAAAGCATGCCTAACAGTGAACAGCATTCCAGCATTCCAGTCTCCAGACCATGCCTGCAGGCTTCTTCAAGCTAGCGGCTGCGCCAGATTTAGTGCTCTCTCAGCATGAAAAAAAAGAAAACCAGGCCTAAGTCTGCGGCTCGATCTCGATCGTGACGAAACCCTAAACCCCTAGACCCTGACCTTGAACCGAAACAGAAGCCCCAATTGCCGTCCCAGAAACGGACATGGAACCTGGCAAAGGGATCATGAAGACAACCGTTCCTTTGAAAAAGGAACTACATACAAACCTGCATGCTTGTTTCAATCACCCTGAGCTCTCATCAATAAAACCCTGGTAGTATAGTAGTATCGTACCCTTCTGGAACCCTTCGAGGAGCCCTTACAATACCCTTTCAAGGCACCTTCAGCCTTAGCAAACCCTTGCAATAGTATAGGAGACTTAATAATTAGACCAGGGTTTTGGGGCCCATTATACAATATTTAGAATAAGGTACCCCCAAAAAAAACCTATTGGTAATTATTTGGACCCCTATATTAAGCCTTAAAGACTTCAGCAACCCTCAAGCTGCACCTCAGGCTTCGCGCTGTGCACGAAAAGCGACACCTGCTTGGAAGGATCAGATTTAGGGCTCAAAGCCTTGATGGCATCTGATTCATAGAATGGTATATTAGCGTACCTGATGGTATCATATAACTGTGTGTGATGGTATGCTTATATGATAGACTACGGTATATTGTAGTATATTATTGTAAGGCCAGGGCTTGTGGCTTACAGAGTAGGGGTTTGGGGCTTGAGGGTTTCGGCTCTCCTTCTGATTCTCTCCCTTCAAGTGTACTTAACCAGCTTCCTTTACGGACCCGGCATCCCTACAACTCTAAGCCACCGAGATCATCAGCAAAAGCCCTGAGCTCTGAGTTCCAACAGAGTTGGACCTCGAGCCAAGGCCCCATTCGACCCCCTGAACTCAGGAAAGGCTTGGGGTTTGGGGGCTTGAGGTTTTTCCCTCCCGCCTAGCAGCATGGCAGGGTTTAGGGGAGTTGATCGCCCAAGTGCGGCACCTTAGGACCTTGAGCCCCTAAAGTCTCAGCGACATGAGCCCCTCTCTCCTCTCCCAGGCATTCGAAACGTCCTGACATGAATCTGAAACCGAAAAGACTGAAACCCCGGAGCAAAAAAAGCGTTGGAGTCTAAATCCCTCTTGTCCCTCCCTGAAAGGCGCGCCCTTCTAGCACCTTTTTGGTGAAAGTAGTTGAAAAAAACCCAAAACCGAGACTCCCAAAACCCCGCCCCACCTTGGCCCGCAGCAGCCCCCTGGAGGCCGAAACCACCTGGTCCAAGTTTTTTCACAGGGTTTTGTTCTGAACTTCCGATCCGTGGTTTCTTGAAAAAGGGGGGCGGGGTTGTGGTTTTGTGCATCCAGTATGAGGTATCGTCATATGGCTTTCCACAGAGCTTAGGGCTTAAATGGTGCAGGCTCATGTCTGGACTCGGCTTCTGGAGCCTTGGGGATTCAAGACTTTGGAAGCCTTGAGGAGGTGGGGACGGTGGGGACATGGGAAGATGTTGGCTTCTCGGATTGCAGGTGTAGGGCTGTACTAGAGCTGCCTACATAACTACCAATTCTAGCTGGGCGGCTCCTTATTGTAATTCTAGTATAGAATACCCTCAAACCCTATTCTAATTATTAAGACCCTTACAGTAAAGCGGGTCGCCCTCATAATTGCGTAGCATTACCTATCTTCGTCATCAACGGCCGAGCCTTTGCAGCAAGTCGAGCAGGGTCCGTCCCTCTTGGGAAATAGACGGTCTGAGGATCTGCTGCGGGGCGGGTGCCTACAATCTGCTCACAACTAGACCCAAACCTCTGACATGCTAGTCTGCTTACCCCGAAACGCTGGCAAAAACCGACGATGGTAGGTTCCTCCCCGCCTCATGCGGGTGAGGCGGCGCTGAGGTGATGTCCATGAGATCCGCCTCGGATGGGCAGTATGCAGCTTCGGAGGGGATACACCCGCTATGCGAACTGGGCCATGTCCACACTCCTGAGAAGACCAGCTTCGTCCTTTAAACCTGTACACATCGAACGACTGCTATGCACTGCGAAAGCCTGCCACCTATGAACGATGACGTCCATTCTTTACGGTGCGATTTGAGCGATGAGCACAGTTTCCGTATTCTTTCGATGCTGTTCTTCACGCTGTGAACGACAGCAGGACCCACCTAGAATGCTCCCCTGAAGCCTCGCGGTATAGCACCCCACGTATATGCAGTATACATGTCTCAAGCTAACCCTACATCGTCACCCCTCATCTCTAAACAGCAAGGGTTTAGGGTTTAGGGTTTAGGGCAAACCCAAAGACTGTGCTCTCCTTGAAGCCAACATGGAACCCCGTTAAGCCGCAGCCTTTTGATGGCCAAAACCCCAAAGCTCCAAAGCCGAGACCCCTACACCCCAACTCCGACAACTTCTGCTACACCTTAAGGCTTCTACACTGAAACGTCAAGCCGTTAGACCCCTTAACCCAAAGCCCTGAACCCTAAACCCTAAACCCTAAGCCGTGAACCCTAAACCCTAAACCCTAAACCTTAAACGTCAAGCCGTTAGACCCTTCCCGGAGTGTAACTTCGAAGCTTGAAAAATGGGACAGGGCATACGGGGACTTTGCATAACGGTTTAGGGTTTAGGGTTTAGGGTTTAGGGTTTAGGGCTTAGGGTTGGGTTTAGGGTTGAGGGTTTTGTTAGGGTTTAGGGTGTAGGGTTTAGTACTACGGTACACATATACTCGGAACTCTAGCGCGGAGTAGCGCTAATGTACGGGCCTTAGTGGTTAGAATTGGGTTTCGAGATAATACACTATAGTAGGAGTATAACAAGGAATCCTCGGGATAATATGGGCTTCTTTTGTACATGAGACTATACCTGTAAAGGGACCATGAAGGAATACTTATTCATAAATCCTTCGGACCTCTACATGTCTAGTATTCTGATTACTACTACTATATGATCATTACGGTTGTTACTATCACTAAGAATATGACGATTATTGCTATGGTTGCCATGTTATCATACTTGTTCCCGAGAGGGGCTATCTGTCCGAGGGTCTAAGTGCGGCAGCACGGACTCGGCGAAGTCCATGTAGTCCGGACCTGGGCCCTAAACCCTAAACCCTAAACTTTAAACCGTGGGACCAAGGAAAGCCTAGTGGTTGAGAGCCTCTGGAAAAGTCGAGCTTAGGATGCGTTGGAGCTTTAGGGCCTAATGTAGGGGCCTTCATAATTAGAATAGGGTTTTTGGGCCCGTGATACTCTAATTATAATGAGGAACCCCCAAAATACTATAGGTAATTATTTAGGCCCCTCTATTAGAGCTTTGAGAAACAGGAGCTTACCGGGCTCAGGGGCTTCAGGGCTTCGCGCGTTGGGGCTTGAAGAAGCTCTGAGTGTTCGGCAACAACAATGCTGTCGCCAAACGCATGGTTCGTCGCTCGTACATTCCGAACGGTTTAGGGTTTAGGGTTTAGGGTTTAGGGTTTACGGTCTTGCAGAAGGAACGAAGGAACCATGGGCTCGGACGTCGCTCTGTGAGAAAATGCCTAAACTCCCAACATGCATACTCTAGTCACTCTACACGGGGGCTCGTACACTGAAGCAACGCACCAAAACACCGTATATTGAACCCTGAGTAAACCTCCAGGTACCCAGAGAAGGCTCCATGCAACGTAGCCCACCTGGCCCCTGAGATGTGCCCGAAGGAGGCCACAGCGCCAAGACCTCGAAAAATGGGGGGGGGGAGGGGGGGGCTCTTGTTCTAGAATGTAAGGTTGTACTGTGGGGGGTTTCTCATCGTTTTTCCTGAGGGTTTCAGGGCTTTCCCTTTTTTTGGTACCGGTGATTTTGTACGCGTCTCACAGAATCCAACTTAAGCTAGACTCGGATATCATGGGACTCAACCCAGGCTTAAACCAGAGCCCAGGAGCTCTGGAAGCGCTGGAAAGGATTCGGCATGGGGTTGGGTTTAGGGTTTAGGGTTTAGGGTTTAGGGTTTAGGGTTTAGGGTTTAGGGTTTAGGGCTTATGATTGGTGGACGTTGGGCTTTAGGTTTGGCGCCCAAGCGTGAGGCAAGAAGGCCTCGGGCCTAGCATTGTAGTTCTTCCCTGTCGAGTCAAAAGGCTCTGCGACTGTTGGGGGCCGTGGCTTCCGAAGACGAGCCTTGATCGGAACGCACTCGGCATCGACAAGGGGTTTGGTGCTCTGTGGTCTTTAAGTTGTTGAGTTATGCCACGAGGGTCGGGCACAAGAAGTCTGCACACAGTGTCTCTAAGCTTAGACCCTAAATGCCTAACCTCAGGCACGTCTGTCGAGTCTAACCGCGGCTTGCCGGGGGTTTATCCAAAAAGTCTGTTGACTCGATTTCGAAGTTTTGGGCAGCCCCAACTTGAATCTGAAAGCCCATGCAAGCCCCCCAAAAAAAAAAACAACCCAGCTCGACACCAAGAAGGCTAGGAACTGCATCTGCCAGCCGCGGCGGATCTTGAGCCATGATCCTGGCAAACGGGAGGTATCGCGCTCAAGGAAGTAGACCCTGAGTGACTTGAAACCCTGAAACACCTCAAGCCCCAGCCCTGACCCTGAAGCTATGAAACCCTAATGAAAGGGCCTTAATCATTAGAATAGGGTGTTGGGGCCCATTATACTAGAATTATAATGAGGAACCCGCCAAGATAATATTGGTAAGTATTTAGGCCCCTACATTGTCCCTACATTGCTTCGGTTTGGCTTTTTTGGCGGGGGTTTAGGGACTTCCTTAACCCTCATCCTTTAAGCCCTCAGCCATGAAACTAACTCACAACTCCCCCCGAAGCCTCGAAGAACTCGTATGGGAGTTTCCGAAAATTGGGGGTACCTTATTTTGGGGTCCTGATAATACGGATCCTACTATCTAGGGTCCTATATTAGGGTGTTTGCGGAAACCCCCGTATCTCAAATGAACATCAGAAGCAACAAAACTCTGAGTCCCTGAGTTCTAATGGTATGACTCCTACAACACTTGTGACGCTTGTGGAAGAAGCAGAAACAAGTAGCTGCACGCTGTGGGTGCTGCCAGCTGTGCACGCAGTTCGAAAATGAGTCTATCCATCAAGAAGTATTAAGTCAATACTTGTGCACTCTTCGAACCGGTGTAAACAATTTCTCTGATCTTTATATTGAGAAAAAGAGCACTCAAGGAATAGTACTACTACATATACACATAACGACACCCTAAACCCTAAACCCTAAACCCTGAACCCTAAACCGTAAAGTCTAAGAAAAAGATGCTTCCCAAAAACTCCGCAAGAGGCCTCCAGAGCACCGGCAGGTCCTCCCTGGAGAAGCCTCGGGCTGAGGATCCCCCCGGAGCTTCTTAGAGCTGCGGTGAAGAAGCTAGGGGGGTGAGGGTTTCGGGTTCCCAAACAAGGGTTCCAGAAGGATACTTGAAGCTTAAGGGCTTCGGGCTTCAGGCTGCAGGAGTTAGGGTTCAGGGTGTTTGGGTTAGGACTCCTTCTTGCCCGCTTGCCTGCTCACTTGCCTGCTCTGCCGGGCTGACACAAACTACGACACGGTCAAAGTGTTGGCTGCAAGCACTAGGCCGCAGCCGCAGCTCGTCCGGGGAGCATTGCCAGAAAGCGTCAGGCGTCTGCGAAAGCGAGCGCACGATGACCTGACGGCTGCTCCACATTAGTGCGCCATACTCCTTTCGTGGATGTTCTGGCTCATGGGAGGTAGCCATAAAGGTCTTTTTTGCTAAGTCCTCACCTTCCCCCCCAAAATGTCTGACCCTCACTTCAGCTTCAGGATGCATCGGCATGCAACTCCGGAGACATCCTTCAGAGATCGAGAAGATCTGGAATTTGCCACTTGCGGCGGTGAAAGGTTGAGTTGTAGGTTGCTTCACTCGATAGCTCAGTCAGACGTGCAGGCTTGGACGAATTTGTGTGTAAGGACCTAGTTATAGTTGACCTGGCATAATCAGACTGTTGCCTGGACTTTGATGTAAGGCTGTAGGTTCCACAGACACCCCTTTTCTGGCTGTTGAGACTCATGTACGGGAACGAGCACTTCGTCACCAAAAACTGCGAGGACACACTGGACATCCCAAAGTGCACACTCTCCGAGAAGCAAACCTGAACCCCAAACCCCTGAGCCTCAACCTTAAAGCGAAAGCTCACGTTAGGGTTTAGGGTTTAGGGTTCATCTTGAAGGCTGCCCAAGCCAAGCTCGCCCTGAACCCGAAAGAGTTCGCACCCTCGGCCTAAGACCCAAATGCATCAGACCCAATCAGTCGTGAGCCCGTGAGCCCCATGAGCCTTGGGTTTACTGACTTGAGGACCCTCTTGAAAAACCGCGGAGCTTGCTCGCCTGACCCTCCTGGGTGGAAGGCGGCACTGTCGCCCTTAGCTGCTGCGTGGCCCACTCCAGCGCCGCCTGGCGAGTGCGAGGATCGGCTTGGGGCCTTGAGGGCTGGTAGGGCTTAGGGGTTAGGGGTTCGGCTTTAGGGGTTAGGCTTTAGGGTTTAGGGTTTAGGGTTTTGGGGTTTTGGGGTTTTGGGGTTTTGGGGTTTTGCGGTTTTGGGTTTAGGGGTTTAGGGGTTTAGGGGTTTAGGGTTTAGGGGTTTAGGCTCCCAATCAAGAAAGCCCTCAGAGCACTTCCCAAAGAAAAAGCCTTGCCAAAACCTGTGAAAACCAAGGAATCCCGGAAAAAAAACCCTATAATTATCATCAAGCCCCTGTTCACAAACCCTAAACTTGCCCTAAACCCTAAACGCGCTGAAGAAGAATCCAAAAGAACCCGGCAAGGGAGGCCCGGGGGTCGCCAATCTCGCTGAGGCTTTGCAACAAACGTACCTGTGGGCTTGTCTTAACTGGGAGTTTCCGAAATTAGGGGTACCTTATTTGGGGGTCCTTATAATAGGGATCCTATTATTTGGGGTACTATATTAGGGTCCCCTATTTTCGGAAACCCCCAACTGGCTTAGGGTTCAAGGATTGGGGATTGGGGTTTAAGGTTCAGGGATTCGGGTTTGGGGTTTAAGGTTCAGGGACTAGGGATTAGGGTTTAGGGTTCAGGGATTGGGGCTTAGGGTTTACGGTTCAGGGATGAGGGATTACGCTCTCACGCTCGGGCTTTGGACTTAGGGTTTAGAAGCTTGGGGGGCAAACAAGCATTGTCGGGTCTTTTCGCACACGCTCGGGGAGCCGGTGAACTCTTCGTGCAAGAGCCGTGGCCGAATGGAATTTGATGCAATACGTTTAGGGTTTATTGTTTAGGGTTTAGGGTTGATGCAATTCCGAATTGGAGCTGAAATTATTAGTCCCCAAACCCAATTACGCGAAAAACCCTTTCAGGGATTGTCAAGACTCGGAACAGCCTCACCTTCATTTGGGCTGCTTGAACCATCTCTTTGGGCTTAGCCGCCTTCATGGTCGCCCCACTTCTCTACGGATACCCCAAGAGTAACTAGGGTTTGCACTCTCACAACTCGGACAAGCCAGGCGAGGGTTCATAGGTGCAGAAGTCGGCGTGACTAGGGTTTAGGGTTTAGGGTTTAGGGGTTTAGGGGTTTAGGGCTTAGGGTTTACACTCTCACAACTCGGACAAGCCAGGCGAGGATCCATGTGTGCGCAGTCGGTGTGACAAGTTTAGAGCTGCCGATGCTTTTTGGTTTCGGGTTTCGGGTTTTGCATGAGCGACTTGACCTTACACTAAACCAGGTTCTCGGCCAGGGCACGACCAGGGACAGACGCCCCTCCCGCACGCTGCCCGAACATCGTCGGGGGATCTCCAAGGATAGGGCAGCATCACCTTAAGGTAGCATCAAACATTGAGACATGCGGACCCCTGGCTCATGAACTGCGCAGCTTGAAGGGCCCCAAAGGTTTGGATTCGAGCCAGCGACTTCGCACGAGGAGCATCACACGCAGAAAGAAAACAAGCGTCGCCATACTTGCAGCGAGGTTGAATCGATGCCTCTGCCGACGGTGAACTGCAATGCTTTCCCACGGCCTTCAACCGTCCATAAGCCCTGAAAGTCCTAAGTCCTAAGCCTTCAAACCCCCCAAGTCTGGGGGCCTTAGTATTTAGACTGGGGTTTTGGGGCCCATTATACTATGATTATCATAGGGAACCCCAAATAATATTGGGAATCATTAATATTATCCTAAACCCTGAACCCTAAACCCTAAACCGTATTATTATTATTACTACTACTACTATTATTNNTATTATTATTATCATTATTATTATTCCGGCCCCCTACAGTAAAGCCCCATGAAACCACCACAAACCGGGCTCGGCTCCCAGTCACCCAGAACCCTCGCTTGCAACAAGAGTCCTACTCACAGAAAGCCCTCCCATCCTCGGCAGTCTGTGAGAAGGGTTTAGGGTTTAGGGT